AGTCTTTTCAGGTCATAGGTACGTTTGGAGCTTAACTGGAGACTTTGGAGCACTTTGGAGCTTAATCAGGATCAAATTCGTCAAGTATGGAATTTGTGCTTTAGTGACGCTCGACACCATGGAGAGTGACGCGCGACACTTGTTGCCGAAATAAGGAAAACGTGATTTTGTTTCCTATTTGAAGAAGGAGTTGGGCCCAAACGTTTTCAAGGAAGCCCAAAACGTGTCTTAGAGATATATATAGGATTTTTATTCCCTTTTTACGTACACCTAAGATTTTCTTAGAGAGAGTTTTTGTTTTTGAGAGTTTTTGGGGAGACAAGTCTGAAACTCTGTTCCGGAGAGAGAAGATTTCGAACCCCTGTTTATTAATCTATTTACTGCTTACTGCAAGCTATTCAATCATGCTTATTGCTTCAATCTCCATGTCTGAGTAGTTTGCTTGTTAGGTTTAGGGTTCTCATAAAGGATTTCATTGGATGTTAGATTGAATGGTTAGTTAGGGTTCATAATCTATTTAGTTCTTCACCATAGGTTGTTCTTAAAGCTAATTCTGGATTGGCCACCTAGAACTTAGATCTTAGGTTGCTTAATTGACACGGAAGTGTAATTGAATAACTGGAAAGAACCTAGGGTGAGCAAAGTAGCTATTCGCAAAGGAATTTGGTTTAGATACTTTGTGAACATATCGAACTTGAGCATTAAAGCTGGTTTAAATCTTTAGGGTTTGCAAAGGAATTTGGAATTCTAGGATTTTGACTTAGATAATTCTCACAACGGAAGTTGGTTAATTATAATTCTGTGATTCGAGTTCTAGAACTGTGCTTAAACCTGAACCCTGACTAATCGATTGATCTGCATGCATTGATTTCCTGAGAAACGCCCTAGACCTAATCCTTATCACATCGAACTTACAAACCGTTTTCATTGCTGCTTTATTTATTTCTGTCGCATTGTTTTTTGTTTCACATATTTTGGCTTAGCGTAACTCCATCTACATAAGGTTTATTGAGTGATCTCTTGTCTCTGTGGTTCGACCCCTACATACTACAACTGCACATCTGTGCTCTTGCAGAGTAGCTTAGGGATTAAACTTTGAGCAGATCAATCCTCCAAGCCTCTTTCGCCGTCGAAGCTTCCTTGCCTTGCTGTGATGTCTGTGCCGCCTCCTTCTCCTTTGGGTGAGATGGGAGCTGATTCTGATGGATCTCCTCTTAGATCTCCTTCTCCTCTGCCTCCTCCTCCAATTTCTCAGCCTTCTAAGCCAAGGTGAGGGCTCTGTGGCTTCATCCTCTCTTACATATGCATGGTTGTCTTTTAAGTGGTTTTTTCTTAGATCAGGCTTAGATCTGCTTGTTAGGGTTGTTAGAATTGTTAGGACCTGGATCTGTGTTGCCTGTTTGTTGATGATTGCTGGTTGCTGGTGGAATGAGATAATTAACCTGAACTTGGATCTAAACTTATTGGACTTTAAAATATTGGTGTTGTGATGTTGACCTGATTAATGTTCCTTTTTGTTACAATTGGTATCACCGAAAGTGCATCTTAATAACGGAAGGACCTTTAAGAAACGGATGATTCTTTGAAATGGATGATTGTGCTTATAGATCTCTGATAGGACCCCTGGCTCCTGGAGGCAGGAGTCAGTGTTGTTTGTTGGCTATCGCTGTCGTGTGAGGCACGGCTAGAGCCATCGCTGAAGTGGATTAGCGATCCACTGTTTATTGAGCCGTCCAAAGGGACCGTTGGGTACAGCTTTCTGGTGAGACCGCTATGAGCAGCCGTCTGAGTGACCGTTAGTGTCATAGCCTGTCTCGGTGATTGTTGTGGATCAGTCTGTGTGACTGGCAGAGTGAACCTGACTAATGGGTATGGTAATAGGCCAGCCATTGGATGGGATTATTCTGGTTGCCTTTCCGGGTGAGGCATGGGGGCCCATGTGGCAGCCCACTACTGCCGCGTCCAGGGACCCGTTGCTTGTGTAGTTGTTTGTAGGGTTACCCTTGAATGTTGTGTGATTGATTGCTAGGAATAAATTGTCTATATATATAAGTAAATATATCTATATATGTGTTGCTTGGGCTTGCTTTAGGATTAGATCTCTTAAAACCAATCTATGCTAGTTTGATGATGTTGTGGGCCTCCTTAAGGTCCATCCTCACTGAGTAATCCCAATTACTCACCCCTCCTGCTTCCCTTGTCTTTCAGGTTTAGTAGAGAGATCAGCCTAAGTCTGTGTTGTTGATTGTTACCTGGGCGTTTTCCTGGCGATCCTGTGTGCTCACCAGATCGGACATCCTACCGGACGCGGTTCGATGGCCGACCTAACATACCCGGTTCCCCGCTCTCTTAGGAGCCTGGGATAGGGATGTTACAGAATCCATCAAGCGGCTTGTAGTTTTTGTTATTAACAGATAGAGAGAGAATGTATTTTCCATTAATTGTGTAAAGAGTATTGGTTACATATATATACAAGAGTGGTCAAGTGAAAGGAAGCTTAACCAATCTAAACCGATAATATATAACTATAGCTAATACACCCCCCTCAAACCGAATTACTCCTTAGGAAGGAAGAGGTTTGAAACAGAGAGACGACTAAGTATAGAATGAAACGGCCCAGGATGCAATGGTTTTGTCAGAATATCTGCTAGCTGGTTCGAAGTCAAGACATGATGCACTTGCAGAAAGCCATTCTTTACTTGATCCCGAGTTGTATGGCAATCAACTTTCACATGCTTAGTCCTCTCATGAAAGACTGGATTATTAGCTATGTTCATCGCCGATTTGTTGTCACAAAACAGCTTTGCCTTCGAAGAAAGTGGTACATGGAGATCCTTGAGTAACTGGTCTATCCATCATAATTCACCGGTAGCAACAGCCATGCTTCTATATTCGGCTTCCGTGCTGCTTCTACTAACTGTGTCCTGTTTCTTCGATTTCCAAGTGATCAGTGAAGTACCAAGAAACACACACAAACCAGTTACTGATCTTCTCGTATCAGGACATGTTGCCCAGTCAGCATCAGCAAAACCATTCAAGCAAAGCACTGTGTCAGATGAGTAAAATAAACCATGTCCTGGGTTGGTCTTGAGGTTCTTGAGAATGTTTTGTGCAGCTTGAAAGTGAATATCAGTTGGGCATGATAAGAACTGACTAAGCCGGTGAACCGCAAAGGTAATATCTGGACGCGTAAGACACATATACTGCAAACGACCAATCACTTCTCTAAAAGGTGTAGCATCTGTAAGGCGAGTACCACCATCTCTACTCAAAGGCACCTTAGGAACCATAGGTACAGATCGTGGCTTACATCCTAATAAACCAGAATCCTCTAGCAAATCTAGACAATATTTCCGTTGAGAAACATATATACCAGAGGAGTTCCGAGCTATCTCAAGTCCTAGAAAGAATCTAGCCGGTCCTAGATCTTTAGTCTTGAAATGCTTAGCAAGATGTGATTTAATGGACTCTACCGCCTTATCATCATTTCTTGCTATCAAGATATCATCAACATAGACTAAGAGAGTTATGAATGATGTACCTTGTATCTTGACGAAGAGAGTATTGTCGGCATATGATTGTACAAATCCAGCACTGAAAAGAGATGTGGACAGGCACTTGTACCATTGCCGGGAAGTTTGCTTCAACCCATAAATTGACTTGTGGAGTCGACACACAGCATTCGGCGGTAAGGTTCCAGAAGGAGGTGTATATCCTTGAGGGAGGCTCATGAATATTTCTTTGTCAAGGTCACTATGCAAAAATGTATTAGTGACATCTATTTGGGTCAAGCTCCATCCCAACCGAGCAGCTAATCCAAGTATAAGCTTCACACTGGCCAATTTTGCAACAGGTGAAAAGGTATCAAAATAGTCGACACCCTCCTGTTAGGTAAAACCCTTTGCTACCAAGCGAGCCTTGTAACGCTCTACACTGCCATCAGCCTTATACTTGATTGTGAATATCCACTTGCATCCAACAACATTCTTCCCTGGAGGTAAGCTTTCAACACTCCAAGTCCTGTTAATTTCCATGGGATAATAGAGAATAATAGACTGATACAGGGGATGGAAGTTCGAATATGAGAGAACAGTTGAGACAGGATAAGGAGTTTTGAAAACCTTTGTAGAAAGGGAAGGAGTAGAAAGTTGGGTAAGAGAACAATGGTAATTGGATAAGTAACTCGGTACCTTTGTTGCGCGTTTGGGCCGAGCATTCTGAAGTGAAACCACATCAGTCTCTGTGACAACCGGATTTGAATTGTGGCCTGGAATATGAGAGTGTGATTGTGATGCAGATGATGCATGAGGTGGAGATGCAGGGGATGGATACTGAAGTGATGTATGAGGTGAATGCAAAGGAGCAGAAACAATCTCATCTAACACAACCGGAGTTGACAGTGGTAAAATGGATTCATGAAAGAGATCAATCGATTTGTGTGTATCAGCAAAAGGAAAAATAGACTCATGAAATATGACATTCCGAGACACAGAGACAAGATTAGAGTCTAAATGGAGAACCTTATATCCTTTGTAACCAGAAGAATGCCCTAAGAAAACACACTTATCAGCTCTTGGACTAAACTTATGTCTATCTTTTTGTAAGGTAAAGACATAACATAAGCAGCCAAATGATCGCAATAAAGAGTAATCAGGTGTCTTCTTGAGTTACTATTCATATGGAGATTTGTTCTTTAGGAGAACAGATGGTAAACGGTTAATAAAAAACACAGCAGTAAGAATACAATCACTCCAGTAAATCAAAGGTATTTTGGATTGAAACAGAAGAGATCTTGCAACATTAAGCAGATGCTGGTGTTTTCTTTCAACTACTGAGTTCTGTTGAGGTGTATATGCACATGAAAACTGATGAATCATACCAAAACGATGGACGTAAACGCTAGTTCAGGTGCATTATCAGTTCGAATAGCTTTGATTTTAGTCTTGTATTGAGTGTGAACATGTTGAATGAAAGAAGGAAACAGTTTGGAAACCTCGCTTTTGTATTTCATTAGAAAAATCCAGGTAACACGAGTACAATCATCAACTATTGTTAAAAAGTATCTATAACCCTCTACAGACTCTGTATAAAACGCACCCCAAACATCTAAGTGAATGAGATCAAAAGGTGAAGTAGATAGATGATTATTAGACTCAAATGGAAGGCATTTTTGTTTAGCTAAAGGACAAATGGAACATGGTGACTCAGAAGACTTACTAGACTTTGACATCGGTAACAAACTAGAAAGATTACGTAACTTGTCAGATGACGGATGCCCGAGGCGCTGGTGCCAAAGAGTGCCATCAACTTCCAAGGATCCAGTGAAAAATGAAGTGTCATGAGTATCAATCTGTAAAATGTATAGATTGTGAATAAGCTTTCGTCTACCAATCATCAAGCCCTGAATAGACTCATGGATGAAAAAAGAATCATCGTAAAAATGTGCAGAACAAGGACTAGATTGAAGTAAACTACTCACAGAGATGAGATTGAATTTAAATGATGGAACATGAAGGACATTATGCAAAAGTAAGGATGATGATAGATGCACTGTGCCTGTGTGCCACTCTCAAACCATTAGGTAAAGATACGGTTATACCAGAGACTGGTACAGTTTCACTAAACAATGCTAAGTCAAACATACATGACAAGTGGCACCACTATCAATTATCCAAGAACCAGGAGTGAGATTATTGTATAAGGTGGAGAGACATTTGTGTTGAAAAGTCAGTCTATTATCCTCAAATCTTAATGAAGAAGAGGGAAAGGGAAATGTACCCGATGAAGATTGAGGTGCCATCGCTCCATGTTCTGTAATAGTAGCCGTAGGTGCATTCGAAGTAGAAGCTTCCACAGGAGAAGACATATTGACATGAGCACTCAACTGTTGAATAAGAAACTGAACTTGATCTTGGTTCATGTGGCTGAAATCCAAATTCATTGCAGGTTGAGTGGGAGGAGGCACATACGGATACGGGTTAGTCATCACATTAGCCACAGCAAGTGGTCTTGGAGTCTCAAATCTACCACGAGGAGGATATGTGGGTTGAAATTGAGCTCGAGGTTGAAAATTAGGTGGAGCTGATGGTCTTTGTGCTGCGAGATTGTTACTTTTGTAACCAGGGATATATCCAGGAGGATATCCATATAGCTTGAAGCATTTCTGAACAATGTGTCCTGTTTGTCCACAATGCATACAAACAGGTCTTGACTTTGGTCGATATGAATTCTGAACAGCATAAGCCGCATGATCCACATTGTCATAATATGCAAATTCTTGAGCATTTGGAGGTCTAGTATTCTGAAACACCACATTTTCTGGCCTTGATGATGGCTTAAGACTCTTCTGTCTTTCATCTTGTGCAACCATATTATAAGCATCTTCAATGGATGGAATGGGGTTCAATACCAGGATGTGACGACGAATAGATTCATAACACTCATTAAGACCCATAAGAAACTGGGTAACCCTGCTTCGATGTTGCATAGATTCCCAAAGTGTTGCGGCATTACAATCACATTTTCCACAAGTGTGAACCGGCAATTCAACATAGTTACGATATTCTTCCCATAGAGTGACTAATTCCGTGTAGTATGAACTAACATCTAGAGATCCTTGTTGAATCGAGCTAAGTCTCTGTTCTATCTCAAAAATTTTAGGAGCATCATTCTGCTTAAAACGAGATTGGAGATTTTTCCATATACCTTCAGCCGTAGAGATGAACAAGAGACTCTGTCCACTCTTCTTGGACACCGAGTTCATTAGCCAAGTCGCAACCATGTCGTTACATCTCGACCAAGATCCAGCATCACGATGACCTTCTTGAGGTTTAGCAATTGTGCCATCAATGAACCCTAATTTGTTACGCACATTAAGTGCCATACGAACTGATCGTCGCCATGAGTGAAAATCAGCTCCTGAAGATACGCGATCGGAAACAAGAACGAGTCCAGCATGATCGGAGCTATGTAGAAAATACGGATTCTCATATTGATCGAGTTGATGTGAAGAGTTTCTAGATCCAGCTGGAAATGACGATGGATTTGGATTTGACGACATCGCGATTCACAAACAGAAACTTAAGAACTGAATTAATCAATGTTATTCAAACAGATGAAAGAAACAAAAATGCCAGAAAATGAAGGATTGGCACAAACTAGGTCAAAGAAAATGTGAAAGAACAGACACAACGATCGATGTAATCGCTGATTGAAGAATCGAGATAACTAGAAGAACAAGATTCAGAAGGAAAGCAAGATGGAATTCACTCTGGGAAACACTCATCATCACCAATCAAAGCTCTAATGAAGATGAATTGAGCTCGGAAGAAGAAATTTCAATGGCGGTGTGAAATAGTTGTTACGCAGAGGAGAGAGAAAATTTTCTGCTTTGATACCATATTAACAGATAGAGAGAGAAAGTATTTTCCATTAATTGTGTAAAGAGTATTGGTTACATATATATACAAGAGTGGTGAAGTGAAAGGAAGCTTAACCAATCTAAACCGATAATATATAACTATAGCTAATATTTGTCGTTGTCAAACGCAACACAATGTGAGTTATTATGAAGCACCAAGTCTTGTGTACCTTGACTATTCTAGTTATGTCTTTGAAAATTATCAGTTTGTTGATTTCCGTTCGCTTTTGGAAGCCAGGCTGAGTCTCCGGTTGTGGGAGCCAACTAACGATTATGATTATGATGGTAATGAAGATTGTTATTATGAACCAAAGGAGCCTATATCTGGCGATGTAACAAACCTAGTTGCGGGTCTAACCAACATTACCACACTTCACTTGTCTCCTGATTCCCTTGTGGTCAGTTTTTTTGCTACTTCTTCTTCTTCTAGTGTTTGTTTTTGATTTGTTGAGGATTAGAATCAATCTACTTCTAGCTACTTCTAGCTAGCAAGGTCTCTCACTTATCTTTTTTTTTTGTTGTTGTTGTTGTTGTTGTGATCAGGCATTTCATTTCTGTTGTAAGTCCTTGCCGGTGTTCAGTAACCTCCTTAATTTATCTATCGAGAGTAACAAGGAAAAAGGTTGGCAAGTAATGCCACGTTTGCTCAAGAGTTGTCCAAATCTACACACTTTAGTCATCAAGGTCATTATCATCAGTTTCCTTTCACTAAGAGTTTCTTCTCTGTTGTTAATTATTCATGTTTAATTGGTCTCTCTGGTTTCAGGGTCTTTTGCACAGAGTAACAAATAAATGTGGAGATGCATGCGCTTGCATCCCTAAGAAGCATAAGAATAAGAGAGAGAAGAAAAAGAAGAAGATTGTGAAGGAGGAGGAGAAGGAAATATCATGTTGTTTACGGGCATGTCATGTCAAGGTGCTAGAGATATCAGAGTATGGAAGTTCTTTTCAAGAGCTGAGACAGATGAGACATTTCTTGGGGAAGTTGGCATGTCTTGAAACCGTGAAAGTTGGTGTTGAAGCAGACAAGAACAGTAACTTCTTGCGAGCTAATCTTCTGGCTCTCCCCAGACTTTCATCACAGTTCCACATCCAGTTCATCTGATTTTTTTTTTCTTTCCTTATCTTTCTCGGTTTGATTTGCCAATGTGAAAGTAACTTAAACATGTATATGTTCCTTCAACATCTCAATATATATAGTTACTAGCCTGCATATATCTTCTTTCAACTCCTCATTCTTCCCACGTGAAGATCCTTCGCACGTGAAGATCAAAGAACTTTTGCAGCAACATGGTACCGGTAATACAAACCATGTGGATTTTCCAACGAGAGAAGAATCTTGTAAAATCTTATGTAGATACGCTTTTAGACAGAGCTCCCTACATCATTGTTTTGAAGACCTTGATGAAGCTTTGTGGTAACCTTCCCTTGGGTCTCCGTGTGGCGGGTTCCCATTTACGTGGGAAGAATGAGGAGTGAAAATACGTAATATGCAAGCTAGTAACTATTCTTGATCAGCAACGTATTGAAGTACTAAGAGAGTCGGTTTTACATGAGAATGCGCAATCTCTGTTTCTCAACATTGCAAAGTTCCTCAACCATCAAATGGTGATCGTTGGCAATAACTTGGATATCAAAAACGAGTTGAATCCTAGCAAACATATCTCTCACATACAGGTATGATTCGATATCAAAGAAGAAGACAATGTCGAAACTCGAAGGCAGAGAACTATAGGAATGTTATGGTTTTGAGATCAGGGTATTGTAAGGCAGCGAGATTGTTCATGGTGCCTTATAATACCTTTGCAGGTAACATTTGAATTCTGTAGCCTGGGATCGGTTAGTTATAATATCAAAACAAAATTAAGAAGAGAGGAGATGAGTTGCGTTGACAAAACTGTTGCCGTCTGGATCCAAGAGTAAATGATAGATTCTGCTCCCTGGCAAGTATTCTGGTGAAAACCGAATCAAGAACCGTACCTTATACCCAAGTCTGAACTGGTTTCTCTACTTGTGTCTCTGCAAGTCTCGCTGAAGTCAACAGGCAACTCTTAAGTGTGTTGTTCTCCAGATGAGATGAGTATGTAATAATAGCTCGCTAAAACATTAATACCTTTTACCCAACTTTCTATCCACACAAAACATAACAGAGTGGAAAACAGAGGAGGAGAAGACATTTCTAACGTAAATAGTCATATTGTGTCTTAAAAAATCTATGAGTCTCTAAAAACATTTCTTTCAATCCTGTATTTTTAAAAAGGGAACTCGTGGTTTATGTTTTTACGTGTGTTTTCAGAGGAGAAGACAAGAGCTTTGAATGAACCCATCTTTAACAATCAATAGAGAGATTATACCTCGAAGAGTGATCCTCTATAATTGAAACGAAAACTATACAATCTGGTGAGTCCAAAATGGACCTTGGTTTGGAAGATTGGATCATGTTTCCTACGGTGGATTAGTTTTCCCGTCTCGTTTTCTGTTTATGTTAAAGAGACCAATGACTTTCTCTGATCAAACTGTGAATAACAAAAAAAAAAAAATACTATGAAATAAAATTCCATCACGTACCATTATTCTTTTTGTGATGGTTTTGCCTCTTTCATATTTACTACCCTTGATGAAGCACTTTGGCGCTCTTTTCAGAGAGGATTTTATTCTGAAAATGAAAATGAAAAATCTGTAAATGCTTTTTTCAAAGCTAATTTGAGACAAAGGTATATTTTACCACAATGGAGAATCTACTTACCGTTACAGAAATAAAAGTGGATCTTTGCTGTGATTTAAGAAAAAACCCCTTAGAATCTTCTTCCTGCTGAGTACCCACACTCGTAAGAGAGACAGATCATAGATAAACAATAAGGGTCCAAGGGTTCTCTTGCATTGCGGTTGGGAATCTATGATTTATCTGTATTTTGGCTTTGTTCCCAAATTAACTGAGTAGCCTCATCTTTAACACCGTAGGAAGCTTGGGCTTATGAAAGAAAAAGATTCAGTTAGTGGTCACATACTTTGGATTGCTTGAGAGGTGGAGCTCCCAAGGGAGAGTAGAAATTCTGTACCTAGTTTGCACAATCATGATGTAGATTTATGTAGACAATGCACTTCTTTGGTGATAAAATTCCAAACAAAAAGAAAACGAGAGAAGATATAGTTAGGACTCTTAAGTCATTGTTTCCGAGATAAAATTATGTTTAATATTTAATCATTTTTATGTTGGAAAAAAAAAATTCCATTACGATTAGACTCAATAGCTAGGCAAGTAAACAGTTTGATGCACCTTAAGGTATCAGAAAAATCATATCATATGTATTAAAAGCAAAGTAAATTTTGAGTTTTAAGGCTTTTCCTTTAGAGTGGTTAATTATTTTGTTGCCCCTCATTAAAAAGACATAACTACCCTAATCAATGGTTTAAATTAAGTTTAGATTACAATTATGATATTATCATACCGATTTTAAATAACTCGGATCAATTAGACTGTGGTTCGTATTAATATAGATTATTTATTAAACTAAGTTAAATACATCACTTTAGGCCGCACTAGGGCATTTGGAGCTCCCGTTTTGCTAGGATTGTTTGTCCGTCTTCAAGGTTTTTAAGGTAATGTTTATCGTCTTAGGTGTGCGTTTGAATATTTTCTATAGTTTTCGTTTTCGTGGTAGTTAACATGTTATGTTGTTTCTTGTACATCGTAACATGTTTTGTTTTTGTGTCTCTCTTAACATGTTTTGTTGTTTCTTCAACGTCGTTGGATGTCTATCTAAGTTTAATTTTTACAACTTTTAGGTATCCGTGATCTGCTAAAAACCTGATTTTGTTTGTTATTTGTGGTTCTTTGTATTGATTAACGGATTTATTTTTCTATTTTTCTATGTTTGTAGGTTGTTCTAATTGTTGAGGTATTTCGTATGCTGTGTCTGTTGTTCCTGTTCTTTTTGAGAAACTTGTTTCTTCTATGTCACGTTACTTAATGAATTCTGCTTTTTACTTTTTCGTTTTTTCCTATGCTTTTTTGGCTTTGATTTTGTTTCTGTATTATTTGTGATATCGTAATGCTCATCGTTTTTGGTGGCTTTTTTCTTCTTTAGTGGTCTTTTTTAGTTTTGTGTGTTGTTTGTTGATTTTTAGTTGTTCCGTTGAAATTGAGAAACAGTTTGGGAAAATTGCTACTTCTTTATCTTCGTGAATTATGGTTTAATCGATTTCGAAGCTTGAGTAACCAATTCTGTTGAGAGATTTCTTAAGAGCTTGCTTTGTGAAGTTCCTTATGGGGTCATGATAAATATTACATGAGAGGCAGTAGTGATGGTTGGTGTAATATATAGAAAATTCTGATCGTCTTTAACATGAGGCCAAGTTCACTCCGTGATCGTAACATTGAATTGAAGTTTTGGGGTTCACATGTTTAAGCTACATGATTCGGCTTTGTCTTCTTTGAGGACTGTATGCACGAATTATACAAAAACTAGATGCAAATCCACAATGACGAGTTGAAAAAGTTGGATCTAACATGGAGAACAAGGGATCTGCTTACACTATGTTAAATAATGATGTGTGTTTGTTTCGAGGCTGTAGCATTTTGGAGAACAAGGGTCTGTAAATATTTCTTGCCGAGTAGGTTTCTACAGGTTCAAGAAACGAAACATTGTACGAGTGAGAACGGAACAAAACTTGCTAGAGACTCGAAACGTTAGAAAACTTCAATCAGTACATTAATGATTCATCAATTACAGCTATGGAAGCATCAAAGCTCACATGAACTCTAGTCTTTGGAGATAAGTGATCCCCATAACTTTTCATGTTCAGCAGTCTGAAAGGCTGCAAAAGTTAATAGCTTCAAGGACATTGCCAAAAGATAAAATCCTTTCCTCTAAAGATTTCAGAAAGGGAAACAAAAGATTAGAAGAAACAGTTCAGGAAACAACTGATTAAGTTTCCATTCGTCTTTAAATAAATGAATAATCCTATAGTACGTCTGTGAAACCAGTTACAAAGACATATAATGCTCAATAGAAAATACCTTTCCAAAATGGAGGTATGACTATTGTACGAAACATTTCCAAATGATTTGTATGTGAGAACTCAAGAGGCATTGGCTCACTTGACACAAATGTCGTCCCCCTAAAAAACTTACCAAACAGTTCATCATTTGTTAA